CTATATGCTAATTCTGCTAATGCTAATTCCACTCATGCCAGTATTACAATATGCTAATTCTGCTAATGCTAATTCCACTCATGCCAGTACTACTATATGCTAATTCTGCTAATGCTAATTCCACTCATACCAGTAGTACTATATGCTAATTCTGCTAATGCTAATTCCACTCATACCAGTACTACTATATGCTAATTCTGCTAATGCTAACATGAACTCCACTAACAATAAATCTAGTAATGCTACTCATGCCGATACCAGTGATAACACTGTTTCTACTAATGCGAATTCCACTCAATATACAGTGAAAAAAATAAGTATTTGAACACCCTGTGACTTTGCAAGTTCTTCCACTTAGAAATCATGGAGGGGTCTGAATGTTCATCTTAGGTGCATGTCCACTGTGAGAGACATAATCTAAATTTAAAAAATCCGGAAATCACAATGTATGATTTTTTTTATAATTTGTGTGTTACTGCTGCAAATAAGTATTGGAACACCTGCCAATCAGCAACAGTTCTGGTCCTCAAAGACCTGTTAGTCTGCCTCTAAAAAGTCCACCTCCACTTATTATTCTAAATTAGAAGCACCTGTTTGAGGTCGGTAGCTGCATAAAGACACCTATCCACCCCACACAATCAGTAAGACTCCAACTACTAACATGGCTGAGACCAAAGAGCTGTCCAAAGATACCAGAGACAAAACCATAGACCTCCACAAGGCTGGAAAGGGCTTCGGGGCAACTGCCAAGCAGCTTGGTGAAAAAAGATCAACTGTTGGATCAATTATTAGAAAATGGAAGAAGCTAAACATGACTGTCAATCTCCCTCGGACTGGGGCTCCATGCAAGATCTCACCTCGTGGTGTATCAATGATCCTAAGAAAGGTGAGGAATCAGCCCAGAACTACACGGAGGAGCTGGTCCATGACCTGAAGAGAGCTGGCACCACTGTTTCCATGGTTACTGTGGGTAATACACTAAGACGTCACAGTTTAAAATCATGCACGGCATGGAAGGTTCCCCTGCTTAAATCAGCGCACGTCCAGACCCGTCTTAAGTTTGACCATGACCATTTGGATGATCCAGACGAGTCATGGGAGAAAGTTCTGTGGTCAGATGAGACCAAGATAGAACTTTTTGATCTTAATTCCACTCGCCGTGTTTGGAGGATGAAGCACCATCCCAAAAACACCATCCCTACTGTGAAGCATGGGGGTGGAAGCATCATGCTTTGGGGGTGTTTTTCTGCACATGGGACAGGACGACTGCACTGTATTAAGTAGAGGATGACCGGGGCCATGTAGTGAGAGATTTTGGGGAACAACCTCCTTCCCTCAGAACATTGAAGATAAGTCATGGCTCGGTCTTCCAACATGACAATGACCCGAAGCACACAGCCAGGAGAACCAAGGAGTGGCTCCGTAAGAAGCATATCAAGGTTCTGGAGTGGCCTAGCCAGTCTCCAGACCTAAACCCTATAGAAAATCTTTGGAGGGAGCTCAAACTCCGTGTTTTTCAGCGACAGCCCAGAAACCTGCTGATCTAGAGAAGATCTGTGGAGGAATGGACCAAAATCCTGCTGCAGTGAACCTGGTGAAGAACTACAAGAAATGTTTGACCTCTAACTGCAAACAAAGATACTGTACCAAATATTAACAGTGATTTTCACAGGTGTTCTAATACTTATTTGCAGCAGTAACATACAAATTAGAAAAAAAATCATACATTGTGATTTCCGGATTTTTTTTTTTTTTTTAGATTATGTCTCTCACAGTGGACATGCACCTAAGATGAACGTTCAGACCCCTCCATGATTTCTAAGTGGGAGAACTTGCAAAGTCGCAGGGTGTTCAAATACTTAATTTTCTTCACTGTATTATTGATGATGCTAACATTGATGCTAAATTTACAAGTGCTGTTTTACTTCTAAAAGACTAATGCTATCACAGCTAATGTTAATTCTGTTTTTGCCAATACTACTAGTGACGATGCTTGTTCTGCTAAAGGTATTTCTACTAACGTTGATACTTGTACTGTTAATGCTAATTTTACCAATGCTAAGCCTACTAATGCTAACATTACTTCCAACACAATCTCTGCTAAAGTAGCTAATTTTTTTTTTTTTTTTTTCCATTTATCCTTTATTTACAGTTGTCCTCCAATGCAAAAGTTGAGGGTTCGAATCCACCAGCAGTCACATGCTGAAGTGTCCCTGGGCAAGACACTGAACCCTTCATAGCCTCTGATGTTTGTATGAATGTGATCTAAAAGCACCGATTAGTCTCTTTAGAATGATTTGTTCAATTAGCTTTGTATAGATCTAGTATAGAGCTGTATGAATGGGTAAATGAGGCACAGATTGTTGTAAAGCACTTTGAGTATATCAATAAGACAGAAAGGTGATATATAAGTACAGTATTTTTTTTTTTTTACTTTAAGACTAATTAGTACTTTGTTTTTTGCATCTTTTAGCTAGCATTTGACTACTTTTAGCTTAATTGGTACTTAGCCGTTTGCGTCTTTTAGCTAGCATTTGACTACTTTTAGCTTAACTGGTACTTTGCCGTTTGCATCTTTTAGCTAGCATTTGACTACTTTTAGCTTAATTG